AGCTGAGGCTGTCATGGTGTTGGGCTGTGAACCCAACAGGGGCTTTCTGTGCCACAAAAGAACCCCTGCATGTTCCAGGACTGCCAATGCTGTAAAGGGAAGAGCTGGGAGTYGGTACCTTCGAAGCAGCCAGTTCTTGGGTGAGCTCCTGGATTTTCTGTTGCTGCTGCATTAACAGCTCCTGGACAGCTGCTAAGGTTGTCTGTAACTGAGTCACTGTGGGGAAAAGCACTGTGAGAGTTCACCAGAGATCCATGCACACACTCACACACCCCTTTCCTGCTGTCTAGCTSCAAAGATGCCTCTATTCTGACTCGATTTAATTTATCTAAGCCCGCCTGCTCACTTTAATCCATATGATTTATTTGCACTATGGGTAATCTACCTGCGCTGCATCTAACCTCCAGTATTTCTAGTTTATCTTTCCATTGTATAGATGTCTATAGCCCACAGTATATCCGTCCAAAACCTCTCCCTTTTAATTATAYTGGCTTATGATTTGTACATCTCTCTGATCTTACACAGTGTTTGTACATTTATCTGTCTCRGGGCTCTGCAGGCAAACACTGGGGCCAGCTCCAGGCTGGGGAGAGGCTGCTCCCAGGGCTGACCTCAGGCTATCATGAGAAATGAAAGATGCTTTTCCTGTCACCCTTCAATGAAAAGTGTAATTAGGATACTCCCATTCCCAACCCACCAGCTCCTTCGACCCCAATAGCTTTAACAAATTTACTGCTGAAAATCACGATTTTCTTCATCCCAACTGAATGTACTTTGCATTTCCCCCCTTTTATTTCAAGAGAGCATCCTGTATTCCYTTCCTACATCCCAGCAAACACTGAAGAACTTCTGCTAGACTCCAACTTCAGCTACAGAACTTTTTTTACAATGGTRCTTTATCCAAAGCTTCCAGGCGGTAAACAAGCTGCTAAAATAAATAAAATTTAAAACTCTATCAGTGTGACAGGTAACAGCTACCCCAGACCATCACCAGGGCACTGGGTAATGAACAGACACCCCATAGAGTCAGTAACAGAGAAGGTGCCTAAGGTCAGAGAGGCACAGTAATTACAGACTCTCCTGACCCTTCCTCGGATTTGCAGATGGAAGGTGGGGAGAAACCACCAAAAAAAAAAGCCCCTGAAAACATCAGAGAAGCAGAAATTAAAAATGAACTTTACAGCCCTCCGAAAGGCTGTCATTTTATTCCCCTTATTAATATTCTGAGGTTGGGAGCCTTTCCGTAAAAACATAATTAATTGAGGCCGTGCCGACAGTAAACAAGCAATTTCAAATTAAACCGAAATGACGGCGGCTTCATTTGCAAATGTGAACAGATTCTCAGAGCAGATAAATGAAGTCACCACATAAAGTGGAGATGGAGGGAAGGAAAAGGGTGGGGGTCTTGGCAGAATGGAGGATAGAGGGAGAGAAGCTTGGAGGGGTGAATTGATGGAGTCATTAATCTTTACCTGTCTGTGTCACACTGCCACTCATCTCAGAAATGTTGGACTCAATCCTCTGAAGTTGTTTCCTGTCTTCTTTGCCTCCCATGATGAGAGGGACCAGGTATTTCTGCATGGAGTASAGAAACTTTTTCAGGAAATAGGGATCTGCAAAGGGCCATTTCTAAACTACCAGAAAAATCTTCAAATCCCACCCCCAAATCTCAGCCTTTATCACAGAGCCAGTGATCATCTGTCCACASGTCTGGCTGAGAACAGAAATCCTCTCTGCAGGAGGTGTTAAAGAAGTTGCAGAAGAGTTTTGCAGTTGCATTTGTCGGGGTACTGAGCCTGGACACACCACTCAATCTGCCTGAATCACAGAGGATGGGCTGATCTCACAGCTCCCAGCTCTCCTCCAGCTACCGTGGCACTTCTGCAGGCTCGTCCTGGGAACTGAGGATGAACTCCAACAGACCATACACAGTGGAAATTACTGTGCTTCCAGCAGCCTCAGAGACACAGCTAAAAAGTAGTTTTGTTTGCTTGCCACTTTTTSACTCTGCATTTTCATGTTCTGTGTGATGCATTTCTCAAGATACCAATGGCAGTGCCAGTGAGAACAGAGATGTTTCATTTGGACACAGCAGCATAAACACATTTATCTCAGATACAGAGCAGGAATAGTGAGGGAGACTTTACCTTGTAGAGCTGGTGGAATCCAAAGGCAATTCCTGCCATTATGATGGCCAGAGCCCCATAATCTCGCCATCTGGAGCCAGGGGGACCTAAAGGCCAGAATCAATAAATAATCATAGTCAGATCTGCAGGTGTTTTTGTGCACCCATTTTATCAGAGAAAAGAGCAATAAATAACACAGAGTGTGCAGCCTCTGGCTGAGGACACTTCAACCATGTCTGGCATTGTCACAGGGASAGAAAGCACAGCAGCAACTGAAGAGGTTCCACCAAGCTCTGCCCCACTCCTTCCTTGCAGAAKGCATCTGAACACAGATAACTGAGTSTGGGGCTGGCACTAGCTCAGGTTAACTCCTYACCTGAATACTTATTGTTCTCCACWATCRTAATTTTTGAAAATAGGGACAGAGCCAGAGACCCAGAAGACTGCAGGAGAAAGGAAAGAAGGGAGTGTTTCAAGAAAGAAGAGAAACCTCTCAGGGCAATGAATGGGTTTATGAAAAYTGTGTCAGCAATTATGGACCATTTCAGTGAGGGAGGATCCAGTGTCTTTCCAGCCTAAATCAAAAATAGGGACCAAAGCACCCATAAGGAGCAGAGAGAAAATATGCAATTAAATATCTAGAGAAAGAGGTAAAGAGGTAGATGAAATTCTGAGATATTTAACACACAGTTCTGCACAGAAGCTCAGAGGCTCCAGAGAGGAAGGCAAAGATGGGTTATGCTCTGCTCCTTCAAGCAGAATCAGAAAATACCTGTAGTTTTCCAGCAGCCTTATCCTGTCACCTCCCTCGCAGTTCCCTGAACAAACCCACCCTGCCCCCGGTTTTCTTTAATAATGAAGAGGATGCAGAATGATCTTGCCTAAAGTTCAGTGGCAGGATGTGGGCAGAGCTGCCGAGATGGGAGATCGCTGTGGCCTCCAAATCTACATGTGACTGCAATGTCTCATAAATGCATTGTGCCCTCCAAAGTCTCCGTTTGCTCTTTCAAAAGGAGGTTTAAGGGGCTGCAATGGGCTGTCTCCTTCCTGCTTCGCTCCCCTTTTGCCATTTTGCTTGTTCCTGAATTCTTCTCCAGGCATTTCACTCCAAAGTTACCCCTAATCCCAGCCCTGAGGGTCAGAGCACTGACTCCCAAATACTGGCACACAGAGCTCCCTGCTACGTTTTAGGACACAGCCCTGAAATGATCCTCTGGCTGGAAATCTCAGCAAATTAAGGCATCTCTGTCACAACTGGTGAATAGTGTCACCAGGAGTATTTTGGGTTGCTGCAGTTGCAGTTTGGAGCTTAGGCACATGATCAAATTATCATAACTTTTTAAGTTAATGAGTTAACACACGTCAGCTAAGCTGCAGTAACTGCCTGTGTACATGTCAGGATTTAAAATGATCTCTGGCTGATCTTGCTGCAACCCCCAGCCATCCATCCCCCTTCCCCTCTGCTGTGCTCCCACTGTCACTGCTGGTACTGAAATCTCTTGGTTTTCCAGTTCTCCCTTGAACTCTGACTAAGAACACCCTTCTGTGCCAGCACTGTTTGCTGCAGGCAGAGCTGCCTTTGGAGAGTTTGATGATCTCAGGGTTTGTGGCTCTGTCCATGGCTGTCCTTGATGGGCTGTCCCAAAGCTCCATCACCTCTGAGCAGGAAGGAGACAAACCTGKAGGAATCCATCTGCTTTGCCCTTTCACCTCGCTCATCTCTGCCTCTGTTCCTGTAATGCTCGAGCTAAGAACATTTTATTGCCCCCTGGTTTTCATTATTAATGAAAAGGGACCAGAATGATCTTTCTGAAAGTTCAGAGAGTCTATAAAGACAAGAAGCTGAAATGCCATTTTACTCATTTTAGAGATGTGTGAAATCTGTCTTGTGACAAAAAAAAGAAAGTGGGAGGGGGTGGAGAGAAAAAGTGAGCGAGTGAGGGACACAATAAAGGCTCTGCACTGACCACAGCAACTTCCCAATGTTACCAAGAATGTCACACTCTCCCTAAAATCCACACCCAACCTTGCTTTTCTCTGCCATTCTCAATCTAAAGCATGCAGAGATTTGGAGTTTCTCAGTTTTAACTCTGTGCTCACACCGAGTGCTTTGTGTATCTTCAATTTCTCCACAAATAAAATTCAGAGAAATGAAAAAAGCACTGAGAGCCCAGTTACTCTCCACTTTAGGCACTGGGGAAGCAATGAACTATTCCACTAAGAGACCTCCAAAAGGCAAATGGAAGGGACATAGACATCTTCTCCAGGTAAAAGTCTGTGTTTTCTCTAAGTATATTTAACTTTCACAGTAGTCACTGTAAATTGCATTTCCAGGGTAAACACTATTTTTAAGRTCCCCATTCACCCAAGAATTGCCTTTCCTAACAGCAGCTAATTAGGCCTTGTGCACCAAACTTAAGGTCGGCATCACTAGTATCCACATTTAAAACTGCACAAACTGACACTGGAAAATGTGATTTTCCAAAAGAAAACAACGAATCCATGGAAAGGTGTTGGGGGGAAAAGAAAAAGAGTTGGTATTCTAGATATCATTTTAAATTGTAAGAAAAAACAGTTTGTATTCCACAGAATCCCACATAATAAGGACACATCCACATCCACATCCACAGGGATGAGAAAAGAAGATCCAAATGGCAAAAAAAAAGTCACTGGAGGTGATTTTGAAGCAGGTGTAAAATCTGCACAAACCCCATAAATACCATGGGGAGCAGCACAGACAATAGCTGGATGATAAGCATGCAGCTTTGCACACCTTGCTCCGAAACTCCCCTGAGTTTGCTTGTAATTATATGGGTTAGAAAGGGAAAAAAAATCCAACAAATGAATCATTTAAATATTTGAAGTCAGATTTTTGTCCTCACTGCTGGATTAGAGTATTTCATAACGCCAACAGCAGACAGCCCAGGTTTTTACTGGGGGTTCATTTTAGAGCATGTTTAAACTAGTCAGATTGAGTGATGCTTCCAGCAACTAATCGCATGTCAAATAAAAGATATTTTATGTAATAAATTACTGCTACAAGTAATTCAAATGTCATTTATCAGTTTTATTATCAGTCAGGCAAAGTCTTGTTTCTCTATATTAATCAAATTCAAGCTTTTTTTAAGCTTTTTTTTTAAGCAGTTTTGACACCTCTTGGCAAAAGTACAAACCGGGGGGAAGGAATTACTCCTCCAGAACAAGAGAAGAAGTAGTAGAGATGGTATTGACCTAAAAAATGAGAAATTTAATTATTGTCTCTTCCTCGAAAAAGTTTTTACACTTTCTCTTCAACCAAATGCAGAAGGGGTTTGGCACACAAGACCTTTGCTACCCTGAAGCCTCACAAGTGCACTTTTCTCTTGTTAACTCTTCAAGAATTAGGAAGTATTTATACAAATTACAACTACTCCCAATAAAACATTAGAACGTGAAGCTCAGATCACAAAGCTCAGCTCCAGTTTACAATTAGAACCCCTGAGAAGGCTTTTATTTGGTGGTATTTTTATTTGGTGGTATTTTTAGTCACCTTTAATTTCCAAGCATTACAGAATGACACTTTCAAAGTTTTCTTTCAAGCTGTTACTGGGAACATTCTGATGTTTAAATTTTACTTAAGATTCTTACCTAGCAAGAAGAAAGTGGAAGCTGCTGCTTTAAGGAAACCCAAAATACCAAAAGCAAAGAGCCAAAGAGTGCCAAAGCTGCCAGGGTTAATGGTGATGGCAGTGTTTGCCAGGCTGAACTCCTCCCTGCTCTGCTCCTGTCAGGGGAACACTGAAATAGGGGAGGGRACTCTTCAGTGCTGGGCTGGGGAAGGGKTGGCTGAATCAGGAACCAAGAGGGGTCTCACCCTCCTTCTTCAGCAAGACAGCAGATTTGGCTTTCCTGGCATTTGCTGTGGACTACAACAGACAGGAATTAGCCCAGGAGGCAGAATTCAGCCCAGGAGTTCACCAACACACACAATAAAACAGCCAGAAATAGTCCAGTTCTGAGCCCACTACTACCACAAAAGGTTTTCATCTCAAACTGTGCCAAATCAGAGCAGCTAAAAACTCAGAAAGAAGCCTRGTATTGTCTCCAGCAACAGCAAACCTGTGCCATAAACCAATAAACACAGCTCTAAGTGGAGTTTACATCAGTCAATATCTGCCACAGAGCTGTTTGAGAGCAGCAACAAAACCCTATTCTAATACTTGGCAGGTAAGGGAAGTGATTTTCAAACTACCAGACACACATGTGAGCTGAACAGCTTCTTTTGATGGATTTTTAATGGTGTGTACTTTGGGTTTTATTGTTTGGAGCTCAGATACTTTTTTGCGAGGTTTGTTTTAAAATGCAAATATATATGTAAATTTGGAGTCTACACAGATTATATTGGGACTTTAAAATTTCTTTGAGAGTGYATTTTGTACACAAAAATCATACAATCACATCCACACAGTCTACACAGAATTTCTGCTGTCACACCTCAGATTATTTAAGATCAGAGTGAAAAGTTTTCCAAGTTTTACACAGAAAAATGGAGTCCATGTTGATGAATTGCTTTGCTGATGTCCTTACAGTGTGTCAGAATCTGATTTCTGGCACTGACTGTCCACCTTCATGTCCACAGGTGTCCCAGGATGATGTTTAGTGTGGACAGGGATTATTTGTGTCTCATTTTCCTGGTGTACCATGATCCTGTTACAGGCATCAACAAGCACAGGGTGCATTCAGAGCGACATTTGGTGTGGATTGTGCCCAAAGGTGTCACTGTCCTGAGCTGAGCTGCACTCTGGGCTGTGGCACAGGGATTTGTGAGGCTCTGCCAGCACAGAGCAGCTGCAGCAGCACTTYTGGAGCTGTTACTCACTGTGGAGCAGGGGCTGAGGAGGCTGAGCTGCCACGGCCTGGCCAGGGGGAGCTGGGGGCTCWTCTGTGCCCGACTGCTGCAACGCCAGGTCCACCTCTTCATCTGTCAGACCTGGCAGCAAGAAAGGAAAGAATGAAAGCAGTTTAGCACCTTCACCCACTCCATGCACACCTAATTAAATTCTCAAGCCGGGCAGAACCCTTTCAAGCTGCAGAGAATTTTGGCACTGACTTGAGCAGTAATGCCTCCCCAATYTTGGATTCACTGGAATGTCTCCCTCTCTCTTTCTCTGTTGCAATTTAACCTTAAGCGACAGAATATTAGCCTCAATGCTGCTTCCAAATGTGGCTCATTCAATTTCCTTAATTTATCCTTGAGTTTATTGCTGCTTTTGAAGTAGCTTTCTATTGCAATTCTCCATTCTTCCCCCGAAAAAAAGATACCATCAACTGCAAATGTGGCTCATTTTAATCTGTAATGGTGTAAAAAAAAAAAAGAGGGGAAAAAACTAACAATAATGCATGAAAACAGACAGGGAAACAAAAAACTAATTATTGGGTTAGACGACTAATTAGTCTAGATCGTTTCCGAAGACGGGAATAATTTGCTTTATTTTATGACAAATGCAGAAATAAAAAGAAAAAAAAATCAGGACTGACTGTGATTAGTATGAATGGGACACAGAATGTAAGGAGGAAATAAAACTATAACGGAACAGATCAAAACAAGGCCAAGCCCAAACTTTGAGCTGAGCATTGGCCCATTGGTGCAGGATCAGATGCCCCAGGGCAGCCTGGTTTCCATCTCACGGAGCTGCAGGAACTCTGCACACATGGCTGAGGTGACTCCTGCTAGCAGGAAACGCCACYGTGACCATCTGGAATTGGCCACAACATCTGCAAAGAATTTGGCCAACAAGGGGGAAAAGAAAAGCAGCTAAAGGAGTCATGATGACCAGCATCTGGGRAGAAGGAAACACAGCAGGATGATTTTTTCCAACAGGAGCAAACATCCTCTAGAGAAATAATTGAGTTCTCAGATGGCAAGCATGAAGTGGGACCTGCAGAGCTGAATATCATTTGTTGYGTTCCTCTCCTGCACAGAAGCACAGAAACCCAATGTCCCTGCTATGGGGAACACGTGAAGGGATTCAGACCTTTCACCAAACACCCACTGCATGCAAAACCATTCAGAAAGGGGGTATGGGACAACTCCAGAGCTTCTCACAGTTCAGAACACGGGAAGGGATTCAGACCTTTCACCAAACACCCACTGCATGCAAAACCATTCAGAAAGGGGGTATGGGACAACTCCAGAGCTTCTCACTGCTCCTGTGAGATACTGGAATTCCTGTGAGACACCATTCATCTACTCCCCAGAGCATTTCAGAGCAATTCAGGGATTTCTCTAACAACAAAATACTGTCARTGTAACAAACAGTATCAGAAATCAAAAGTTCCTGCTCTTTGCTCCTCGATCTGACAGAATCACCCCGTGACTTGCATTTGATGCACAGCTCCAAGAGAAAGAAGCCAAAACTGCACACAATAATATGGAACAAGACTTGCAGTGAGAGTAATAAAAGGCAGATAAACACAACTCAGCCTATTGCTCTGCTCACAAAAGCAGTATTTATGGTGGCTAACACACTTTAAAACGCAAAGTCCAGTCAGAAAGAAACAGTTTTAACTGTTTGAAACTACTAATTACACAATGTAGAATGCATAAACACATGCCAACAGTGCAGATCACCACCAACTACTGGATTTCATAAYGATGGAGACAACATTAGCTGCTGGCTGCCAGTGTGGCATTTTGTGCTATTGCCATGCAAATCTGATGATATTTAACACTTTGAAACATCAGAAGTATTGGAGGATCTTCATTCTGCAAAAAGAGCAGAAAGCGATGGCTGTTGTTTCCTAAGGATACCCTATTCTTACCCTGTTTGAGAAAAAAGCTGAAACCTTTTGCAGATAAAATGCACCTCTAGGATTACTCTGATCTCACCAAATGGGGACAAGTGTCACTGCTTCCATTTAAACCCTGCTGTGCGAAGAAAAAGCTGATGTGAATGATGGAATGGCAGGAACCCTTTCACACTGCAATTCCTGAGTAGAACAAATTTGAGCAGTACAATTCCCTGTCCTATAATGTCTATTATGTACCATGCAGTCTTGGTGGCAGCACCAGCGGCATCAGACAAAGAAATTATCACAACTACAACCCTTGTTATTTATAGCAGAACAAGACTGGCACTGCCATCACCCCGGCAAACTCTTCATTCACCTGGAAAAGATGCTTTGAGGCCTTGCAATCTCAGCCTCTAAAAACCAAGGGAGTCCTGGAGCTGATTCCTGGAGCTGATCGATATGGAGTGAGTGTGCACTGTGGACACTCAGTAATGGTGAACCACCAGTGTACTCGGAGATGTACCCAAACCTGTACCCAAACTCATACCCAAACCTGTACCCAAATCTGTACCCAAACCCGTACCCAAACCTGTACTCAAACCTGTACCCAAACCCAACCCAAACCTGTACCCAAACCCGTACCCAAACCTGTACCCAAACCTGTATCCTAATCCTAACCCTAACCCAAACCTGTACCCAAACCCTAACCCAAACCCTAAACCCACTAATCCTAACCCTAACCCAAACCCTCACCCACCTCAGGCTGGTCATTCCTCTCACACAGTAACAAAAATGGACAAGGCTCTCCTCAGGCAATTATAGACAACTCAGCACAATTGGCTTTGGAATGATTTTTTTTTTCAAATTCACCACCTACACACATGTATGCATGAAAACAGAATTAGTTTTCCATGCCCAAATTATTCAACCTTGGTATTTTATTACATACAAAAGTGGGAATTTCTAAACCAGACCTAAGTGTCAGCTGTTCCAATATCTCATCTTGCTTTATTTTATCAYAATCTTATCAGTGCACTACATGAAAAAATGTCCATGTTCATTCATTGTTCTAACCTAGCAGGAAATTGGGAACCCAAAAATGATGCCACTGGCCTTGGATGCAAAAGCAGCGTCACAAAAAGTGGAGCTTTGTGTCTAGGGCAACTCTCAAATAGGTGTATCAAGAAAATCACCTCTGTTTAAAGGTGGAATTACTCTAAACCCACTTCCGAACACTTTGGAAAACAAACATTTTCCTTGTTGTGCAGCTGCAGCAAGATCAAGTCCATGCAGAATGCAAAAGGTTAAAAGGAACAATAAAGGAAACTGCCAATTGTAAGTGAATTATATTTGGCTTTGAAAGCTGAGCCACGGCTATATTATAAAAGGCATCTCTTTGCGTTGTTTACCATCACCCTGACTAATGCAGACCTTTTTTTTTGTTTTAAATAATCTCATGCAAATTAGACACACACTTCCTTCCAGTTGATTGCTATCTGCAAGGAATAATCTAACGGCAGAGGGTACGGAGCAAGGACTGAGCTGAGAGGGATCACGGAAACTGCCTMAGAGCCCCTCAGAATGCAAACTGCTCCCTTCCCCCAACCCCCATCTCAYTCCTCTCCAGCCATTGCAAAGAATTAGTCATAATTTTCAAAAGCTTGAAAGATTTCTTCTCAGGCTCCAGRGTGTAGATTTGAATAATCCAGCACCCACGGTTGTTCTGCACTCAAGCACTCTTGCTGACCCTCGCTCATGACTGTCACTGCTGCCTCTCCATTTTCAGGCATCGCTCAGCCTCTGTAAATTGTTGTCAAACACAGAAACAGAGCAAGCCAGAGAATGCAATGGGTTATCACAAGCACCTTGTGCCTTTAGCTCAGGTGTTGTATGAAGAGCTCCTTTGTACAAGCCCTGGCTGTGTTTTTATATCCCTCTGTAATACCCATTACTGTTTAAAAACCTCATGTACATCACAATTCTGCTCCTCTGATGACCACTCTGAAGGAGAGGAGAACTCACAGCACTCACACCCAAATTTCACAGATGAGGAAGAAGCAGAAATACAGATATGAGAAGTGCTCCAAGGTCAGAACTGAACCTCTGTGAGTCAGAAAATAAAACTCAGGAGATGTGACTTTTACCTATTTTCTGTCTAAACACAGTAGCAATAATTGCAGTGTAAAACCCTTCCATGAACTTAACTAGGTGAGCCACTGTTTTTTCTTCTTCTGATGCAGGTTCTGACATATTAGTGACAACCCTTTTCCCATCCTGTGTGCTGAAAATACATTTTTCTTCAATATATTCCAACTTGCATTGCTCAGTCCAGTAATTCACACAAGATTTTCACAACCTGAAGGGTCCATCAGTTTTGGGGAGAACATTTCTGYTTAGGCAAAATTAAGAATTGTGCCGTAACAAGGAAACGTGGTGGGAAAAATTCAGATCCTTTGTGGTTTTCCAAAGCCAGGTTTATTGCCCTCCAAAAGAGCACCCTGGAGCAATCCCCAGAGCCACCCTTGAGAGGGACAGAAGGCAGGACAGGCTTTAGGACAGGGGCAGCAGCTGCTGCTGTTCTCCCCACACACTTTCTATCACAGAGAAACAAAACAGGACAGCACAAGTTGTTCAGCTACACCAATGTGAGCACCTGAAGTTGGTGTGGTGTGACTAAAAGGAATCTCCTGATCACCCTGAATGACATTACACTGCTGTTCCTGGAAGCCACTGAGTCAACCCTGCTCAGAAAGAACATGGGCACATTTGAAAAGAATCATCATCAAACCCTTCTGGATGTGATCCAGACTAATGATTCCACCTGTTCAGTCAGTCACAGCAGTGCTGGGGACTTCTCAAATCYGTCCCCTGCATCAGCTCTGTGCTGCTCAATGGATTGCAGAAAGGTCAAAAAGGCAAAGTCTCCTGMTCCATTTTCTTTCACACACGGTCATTCATGAGGCTGAGCCCGAGCCAACATTTGAATAAAACCTACGCTTTCAGAAACATGACTCTCCTTTTTTTCCCCTTGATTTTTCCCTTACTGAGACACTGCATTTCCATGTAAACATCCTTCTGCTGCACTTAAGCTCAAACTTAAGCAAAGGAGCCCACACATCAAAGGGACATGGACTGGTCTCAACTGCCAGGCTGAAAAATGCAGAAATAAAAGTCATTTCAAAAGTTACTGAAAGGACT